ATTCTACGGAATCCACCGAAGAACAAATCTCTTTTTTGTGAATAAAACGAAACAAACAAACCCTTTGTAACAACCCCCGTACTGTTTACTGATTAATGACTGATTGATCACCGATTACTGTTAAACGAAACGGATAATGACTGATAACTGACTGATAATTGAACTGATTAAAAGTACTGAACTGACTGACTGAAATTGAAACTGAATTGACTGAGTATATGTTAGTTAATTGCATTCTATCTGTTTGATTGTATGATTATCTGTTCATACTTATATGTTTAAACTGCTAATTGAAGGCCTTATCGGCGGCCGAACTAGAAACCGATTAGTGTTCTGTGACCCTCGTAATTTATGTGATTTTATTGTATAATTATCTGAAAATTGATTAGGTATGATTAAATTAGATTAAAATAAGCTAATTAAAGAGGTTGCCATATTTACCATTTTGCCACATGAGTGGCCCACTCAATACACACACTTGAGCCTTATGTACACACTTGAAGAACATTTTGCTCAGCCATTTTCTTGTGCTTAACCGACCAAGAGAGGGAGAGGGAGAGAAATTGAGTTCTACCTTGTGAATTGCTTGGAAATTGAAGGAATTGGAACATAGGTTGCAAATTTAACTTCCTCACCTTGTAACTAAAGCTCTAGGTAAGGAATTCAACCCCTCTTTGTTGTGTTTGAGCTCATTCATGTTAGATTCTTGAGCCTCTAGTGATTCAAGTCTAGAATTGGTTCATTGTGTTGATTTGGAACTCATTTCATGCATGCATGTTTGTAATGTAGATATTTGAGTTGTTTTCATGGCAAAAGATTACATGCATGTCCATCTTTTGGTCATACCCCATGAATTCATCATGTTCTTGAAGAAATGAGTCCATTTGAACAAGCTTTGAAGATTTAATTTGGTTTAAAACCATGCATGTTTGCATGTTAATGTTGTTCTTGAAAATGGGTTTTTGAATTTTTGGTTTTAATTGACTCACCTTTGTGCTTGAATTCACAAATGAGCTTTTGAAACTTGCTTATACATTGATTTAGTGATGTTTCCAGAATTGGGCCCAAGAGGTCGACTTTTCGTAGCGTAGTTGGCTGTTGGAGATGCTTGTTTGAGCTTAGCGCACGAGACCGAGTGCAGGCAGATCTGGAAATTCCAGATTTTGGCTCCTCCATCGTGCGAGAAGGATTCCCGCTCGAGCGAGCACCTTTTGTCCAAGGCTTCGCTCGAGCGACCATCGAGCATCCACTCCTAAGCGCGCGTTAAATCTCAGCATCCAGTATCTTTTTACTGTTTTGCAGGTACCGCTCGAGCGAAGGGTACTTACTCTCGCTCGAGCCGAAGCTTGATTTTGGCACTATTACGCTCGAGCCGTAGAAGTCTCGCTCGAGCGAAGCCCCTATTTTCAGCAAAACTTGCAAAAATTTTTTCTAAGTGTATTTTTGCATCCTCATCCCATCCTAGGGCATTTCTTAGGCCAGTTTAAGACATTTAGATGAGGAATCGTTGCAGAACACACCAAGGCAAATTAAGATTAAGTTATGAGATTTCCCAACTGTGTAGCTTAGTGTGTTCAACCTGTGAACTGTTGTAGGCGGGTTGGCAACCTGGAGGAGACACCGCTCATCACGATATAACCTGTTGAGCGACAGGTGTGCATAAATACCAGCGCCAAAACCCGCCGAACACTGGACGCCAGAGAGCGCGACCCGAACCGTCGGACCGACAAAGGCAAATTCCGTATATTTGCCAACTCGAAACGCCGGTTTTTTGTAAGAAAAATGGCAAATTCTAGTGACCAACTTTTAATCAATCCGCGGTTTCTATTTTTCCTCCAAAACGCACCGACCCGCACCGCTATTAAATCATGTTGTTTATAAGATTTCTAAAAATTCTTTTTTACTTAAGTTTGCTTGTTGCTTTCTATACCTTAGAAATATAGTATAATTACTGCTCGAGGTGAATCAAGATGTCAGTAATTCAAAATAAGTTGGATTCAATTCACTTTCAATCTTTTTTTTTTTCTGGCCATGTTGGCAAACTTGCATCATTCACTTTCACACTAAATGACTTTTTAACAGAAACATTTTCAATATAGGTAATCCTGAATGATATTAAACTTTATGTATTGTATTTGATCATTTGAGCTTCCGCAGATCTTGTAGATGAACGGCAAAAATGGCATAGTCATTATCATTTATATGTTGGTTGCTACACTTGCCTGTATTAGAAAAAGCTTCACAAGATGCTTAAACAATTCACGTGTATCTCTTGTTCTTTTTTTTACTCTTTGATTTTTCAGTAATTTTGAATGTATAATTTTTATTATAACCCCCAATCGCAACAAACCGTCAAGGCAATCGCCCATTATTTCCAATCGAACCGTCGGTTTTTGATTAAGAAAAATGGCAAATCTCTAGTGATACTTTATCATCGCCACCCGCCATACGGTTTTTACTTCCTGTCAAACCCACCGACCCGGCACCGCGCACACCCCTACATACTGTAGCCCAAGAACTCTGTGAGTAACAATTGGTAAGATATGTTCAACTGATATCTTTTGAATACGTAAACTGGAACTGTTTTACTGAACTGGATATTATTGAAATGAATGTAATGTCCTGTTATCTTCTGAACTGTCACTGTGGCATCCTTAGTACCGCTACGGTTATACTGTTACTGTACTTGTTAAGAGATCTTCTGTCGGTTCTCCTCGTCGGGAACCAGCTACAGTTTACTGACTGATGGCCATTCAATACTGTTCGGGTCTTTCAAGACCTTACTGTTACTGTATGCTAAGGATGCACCACATATGACTGTTTACTGTACTGAACGACTGAAATATCAGATGTGAATTGTAACTGTTTTCATTACGTAAAGGACATTTCATTCTAAACCTCTTTACGCCTTTATGTTATTCGCTGGGCTTTAGCTCACTGCTCATATATATATGTAGGTGTTCAGGCACCAGACCGCAGCTAGAGGCGTCAGGGTTACTCCAGTTTTGTCAAGCCAGCCTTTGTGCCTCACTGCGGGGTTCCTAGTTGTCATGCTATGGCTTGGGGGTGTTTTGTTTGTTTTCCCCCCTTCTGTACTGTTTTGTACTGTTTTACTGCTCTGTATAGACCGAGTGTTACTGTACTGTTATCTAGGTCGGGTCCCTAGTCTGAATAAATGTAATACTGTTCTGTACTGTTTATGTATAAATGTATGAAAAGCCTTTTTGCATACAGACTGTCACAGCTCAATGGACACTATTTATTTACTGTAATGGCTTCCGCCAGGCCCTGTACTCTGTTTTACTGTATCACTGTTCTGCAGGCCTTCGGTAATCTCGGATTACTGGCCGGTTACGGTGCTAACTGTTCTATTTGCAATTTTCATTTGTATAATACACTCTTTTTTGTCTTATTAAAACTTGGGACAAGCTTCCAGGTTATAGTCTCTTATTCGGAACGAACAACAGGACACCCTGGTGATCTCCTCAAGGGGCGCTGCCTTGGACCTGCGGGAGAGTGGGAGGATTTTCCTGTAACAAAAAAAAAAAAAAGACAAATTTTATTTTATCCTCTTATAAGAGGATGAAGAATATAAGAGTTTAAAAGTCAATTCACATTTGTCGTCACACTTTGGTTCATAAATTATATATGAATTATGTGATATTAAAAATAAAAACAACAATTTTTTTTTTTCAATTTGTACTCGAAAATAATCAATAAGATAATAAATACAATAAAATGTAAAAATACATTAAATTTGTGTGAGTACTTTTCTGATCACACTGTCCGTTTAGTAATCAGCTAGAGAGTACCGTCAAAATAGATGGCTTCAGCTAACCTGTAACAGAAAGAGAAGGCTCCGGCGGTGGTTCTTCCACCCGGGGACACTCCGACGATCAAGTCAGTATATCTCTCAAAGATAATCAAGTGCTAAACTTACTACTCAAAGCATAAATTGCCTACCTTAGACCCACGGGGTGCCTCTCTTTTATAGTTACCTCCATCCAAATCCCATTTAGAAGCCTCACTTCTATGGATTCCTATTCAGTACTTATTTTGGACTCCTCAAGAGATAAAGATAAACTCTCTAAGAGTTTTATATTTATCTTGGCCAAGTCTGCTCTCTATTCTAGGACTCTTGTCCCTTATCCTTTATCCGATTATCTCGGATTTCGATATCTTGGAGATAACCTCGGCTTACCCGAGATCACCTCGGCGTCATGACCCTGACACGTGGCACCTCAGCTGACACATCGGCGTCACCTTGCCACGTGTCGGTACTCAAAAATATATCCCCACAAAATTGGTTTGGTTTTCCAATATATATATATATATTTTAAAAGCTCTCAAAAAACCTCAAAATTAGATTGATTCAAGAAATAGAAATAAAAATAAAAATAAAATATTTTCATATGATTTTTATTTTTTATTTTTGGATGCAATTAATTTTTAAAAAATTAAAAATATATTTTTAATATTTACCCTGGTAAAAGTAGATTTTATTTTTTGTAAAAATAAAAAAAATAAAAATTTATTAAGAAATTCTCTTTTACGTACTTGTATCTTAATTAGTTTATAATATATTCTTATATTCTAATAAATCCTATTATTTGAATATTTGATATACAAAATCCTAATTTTCATATTTAAAGTATTTTATGGATAATTTACATTTATAAATAGTTTGAACCCTTAGCAGTTTGGTGATGTGAACATTTATATCTGACAGTATGAATGTTTACATCATGAAATATTTACACTATTAATATGAATATAAATATGCACTTCACATTATTATTATTAAGAATATTTTAGTAATTATGTTACTCATAAGACTTATTAAAATATAAAAAAATAATTCAAATTAAATGAAATATAACGAAGTGAAATTTTTTTTTTAGGAATAAATGCATATTCTAAAAGCCAAACCAAATCAATACAATGAGTTAATAAAACCGGGTCTTTAATCCTAGTCCGGTTCAAAACCTATGTGATAAGAAAGGAGTCCGTCAGGGTCCAAGTAGGAAGCCCAGCTTCAGTCTCTCTGGTTCCGTCTCGCAACCTCCTCACACTAGGGTTTATCACTCGTCGATTACTAGGGTTTTAATCATTTCTGCAGAGAAAATGGCGTCTCTAATGGCGATTCATCGAGCACGAGCCTCCATTTTCGCTTCTTCATTCAGGGTACGTTCTTTGCACTCGTCTTCTCACTTCATTTTCAATCACTGCAATCAAATTTCAACCCTAAATCCCTCATCTCTCAAAACTCTATCTACGTCAGCCGTCCCGAATGATTTCCAGGGACCACCACAACCGTCCGATCCTTCTAGGGTTTTTCCTCAAGACCAGAACTATGGAAACCCTAATCAATGGAACACCCCAAATCAGAACTATGGAAACCCTAATCAATGGAATAATCCAAATCCCAACTACCCTCAATCTCAAATCCCTAATCAGATGTACCATCAGAATCAAAACTATCCCGGCCAAGGAAACCCTAGTCCGAGTCAGGGTTTCCCCCCACGCAGAGTCCCTAATTATCCAAACCAAAGCTATCCTCAGCGTGGAAATGATAGTCAGAATATGAATTATCCGCCTCCTGGGAACAATAATCAGTTGAATTATCAAAATACAACTCAGAATTACCCGCAAATTGGAGGCCAGAATCAATGGAATAATCAAAATCAGGGTTATCCACAGCGAGAGAACCTTAATCGAAATCAGAACTATCCACAACCTAGTGTGAATCAGTTCAATAATCAGAATCAAGCTCACCCACAACAACGTGTAAGCTCTAATCAGTGGAGCACACAGGATCAGTTGAATAATCAGACTCAAAATCAAGGGCAGGTTGTGAACAATCAAGCCCCGAGTGGACTGCCTGCAAATGTTGATTTAATGAGTTTGTGCCAAGAGGGCAAGGTTAAAGATATTATTGAATTGATGGACCAAGGGGTGCGTGCTGATGCTCAGTGTTTTGAAGCCCTGTTTGGTTTGTGTGCAAAGTCGAAGGTACTTGAGGATGCAAAGAAAGTGCACGATTACCTTCTAAGGTCGACTTGCAGGGGTGATCTTCAATTGAATAACAAGGTGATTGAAATGTACTCAAAATGTGGGAGTATGACTGATGCACGGAGAGTTTTCGATCATATGCCTGAGAGGAATATGGACACCTGGCATTTGATGATTAATGGGTATGCATCAAATTCTATGGGTGATGATGGGCTGGCATTGTATGAACAAATGAGGGAATTAGGGTTGCAACCAAATGAGCATACTTTTCTTGCTGTATTGTCAGCTTGTGCTAGCGCTGAAGCTGTGGAGGAAGGGTTTATACATTTCGAGTCTATGAAGACCGAGTATGGAATTGCTCCTGGGACTGAGCATTATTTGGCGCTTCTTGATGTTCTTGGACATCCCGGGCATGTCACTGAAGTTGAGGAGTTCATTGAAAATCTTCCATTTGAACCCACGGCAGCTATTTGGGAGGCATTAAGGAATTATGCTCGGATTCATGGAGATATTGATACTGAAGATCGTGCTGAGGAGTTAATGGTTGGTCTTGACCCTTCAAAGGCAGTGGTTAATAAGATCCCTACACCACCTCCGAAGAAGCAGTCTGCGATCAACATGCTCGAGGGTAAGAACAGGCTAGGTGAGTTTCGAAACCCAACGCTGTACAGGGATGATGAGAAGTTGAGGGCAGCAAAGAAGGAGCAAGGGTATGTGCCTGACACAAGATACGTTCTTCATGACATTGACCAGGAGGCTAAAGAGCAGGCCTTGCTCTATCACAGTGAACGCTTGGCAATTGCGTATGGTCTGATTAGTACACCAGCGAGGACACCTCTGAGGATCATCAAGAATCTCCGTGTCTGTGGTGATTGTCACAATGCCATCAAGATCATGTCCAAGATTGTAGGCAGAGAATTGATCGTTAGGGACAACAAACGGTTTCATCATTTCAAGGATGGCAAATGCTCTTGTGGCGACTACTGGTGAAGTTACTGTTGTTTCAAACTTTTGTTGCTGATGTCCAATGATATTATGTACCCTATATGCATTTTATTTGTCAAGTGCCAAACTGCCAAAGTATATGGGTCACTTTGGGCAGGAAAACTAGTATTGGTATTAGTAGGAAATTGACAAATTGTTATCCACTGCTCATAGTCTACTTTGTTCTTGGTCTGAAGCTCAGTGAATTATTCATTAAAACATGACACTTGCTATTGACAGAAGGTTGTTAGAATTTGAGTTCAAGAGAGGCATATAACATTGCAAACTCAGCTCATTCAATTATATATATATATATATATTTTGGGACTGTCCAAAATAATGAAATATATCAAGCATAGATTTCTTTGAGTAATAAGGTTTCTTATGCTTCTGGCTGGTGTTTGTGTTTGTAAATCTCTTTTGGGTCTTAAAGCTTAGGGTTGGAGGTGGTTTGTAGAGTATTAGGTGGTTGTATTTGTTTGGTTTTCTTTGAATGGTTTGTTTTTCTCACCTTCACCTTAAAAAGAAGTTAAATAATGGCTCTGTTTGGTAGGGGGTTTATTTCTAGCTTATTTCAGCTTTTAATTTAATTTAAGCTATTTTGATGTGTTTGGTTCAGCTTAACAATACAACTTATAGTTTTTTGTAAGTCAAAAATCAACTTATTCTTTGAGTGGGAGAGGAGAAACTTAATTTATAAATCAAAAATCAACTTATGTTCACAGCTATAAGCTGTTAAGCTATAACGTATAATTATTTTCCTACAGCTCTACCAAACGAAGCCAATAATTAGCGTCTCTCTGTGATTTGGTAAATCACATTCTAGTTTCTGTTCTGATTGTTTGATTTATATCTGTATCCTCTTTATGCAAATGGATTGCCAAGCTTGACTCATGTTCCAGACCTGTTGAGATTTGTAATTACAATACCTTCGGGTGCTGTTACATTTCTGTAGGTTGATCAGCTCGACCTAAGGCTGGCTGTGTTTGGTTACGATAAAAGTGTGGGAAGTAAAAAATTTGAATTTTTTTTTTTTTTTTTTTGGCATTTGTTTAGCATAAGACTGATGGAAAATGAAAGAAAGTTGATTTTTTTTTTTTTTTGGGTACCAATCATTTTATCATATGATAATTTAACTTTCAACAATCTTTTAGGCTCGTTTCCAAAATTTTATCTTAATCAAATGTACATTAGAAAATAAAATATTCTTTTACTTTTTGTTTCCTTTCATTCCACTTTCTATTGCTTTTACTTAGAGGTGTACACATTTAGACAGTTTGAGAGTAAAATTATAAATTGAATAGTAGATTAATAGATTGGCGGATTGGCAAATTGTGATTTGAGCGGTTTTGGGTAGATTGTCGAATTAAATAATATTCTAATTAATTATCAAGCCTTTACATAATATATAATACTAATTTACATAATAATTTTTTTATATATATAATACAAATTAATTTTACATAATATTATATATATAGCTATTAATTTGTAATAAATTTCACACTTATTTTTATTTTGATATTTCATTATAAGTTAAAAAATATATATGTATTAATTATAGCGGTGCGGAATAGTTTCGAAGGCGATTTATAAATTTTAAAATTTAAATCGTGAGTAGCGGATTGATGTAAATCGATATAATTTTAACGAATTGAGTGATATTTTACACTGGCCTGATCCATCATATTTCACTGTAATCAAACGAAAGTAGAAGCTTCTCATCTTATCATTAAAGTCTCCACAGAATAATTCCATTCAAATCTTAAAAAATTGATATGTCAATTTAATTATTTATTTGGGTAAATTTTACTTTATTTCTTATAATTTGGACCATATGTAATTTATCCTCTAACGTTTAAAAATGACTACATAACTCTCGCGTGGTTTGTAGACTAAAGTACACCATTAAACATTTCGTCCAACGTAATAGGAAGTGTGAAATACGTGATAGATATAAGGAGGTTATATGCCAATTTTCAAATTTCAAGAGAGTAAATTGCACATGAAATAAAGGGGTTAAATTGCACATGAATAAAACACAGAAGGTTAAAATACACTTTGTCTTTCAAATAAATGACGAAAATAGAGAGGTATTTTAGTCTTTTTTATTAAATCTTTAACGGGCTTAATGGTGCAATTTAGTTCACAAACCACAAGAGAATTATATGGCCATTTTCAAATGATAGCTAAGGGGTAAACCGCATGGAGTCTAAATCATAGAGGGTTAAGTAAAATTTGTCTTATTTTTAATTTTTTTTTTTTTTTAAGACTCAGCGAATAAATTTTCATACGCAAATTTGACATCATTAAAAAGCACTCATATATCAAATATGTTATTTTATTATATTTTCACTTTAATTTTGTTGATTCACATGAGTTTCTATAAAAACATACTTTGCCATGTGTCCGATAGAATAAAGATGTGTCCTACATAATAAAGAAATCAATTTTTAATTTCTACAGTGCCAAATAAGATTTGAAGTACCGATCAAACGTGCTCACACACACTTTAATTTCCTAGTCAAAACAGATAGAAAACTGAGCACCAAAGAGAGAATAGACAAAAAACAAAACAAAATTTTAACCAAAAAACAAAAAAAAAAGAGGGTCCAAGAATTCTTATATGGCAGGGGAAGAATATTTTAGTATCTTCTTATATAACAATGCCTATTTGACCACCATTCTTGGTAAATATAGAAGGTTGTTAACATCCTACTAAAGCATCAGTTAATTAAATCAGTTTTTTGAAGCAGAAGCAGCTAAGGTCAATAACATGGTAAGATCAGTATATCACAAAACCATTATACAAATAAATAAATAAATAAATAAAAAGAAAAGAAAAAGCCTAGCAAAGCTTCATGGTGCGAGTCATCATGGTGATAAACTCATCCATGTCAATCACACCATCCCCATTCGCATCCACTGCCCTAACCATTTTCCGACAGTCTTGTAAACTGCACTTCTCTCCGAGCCTCTTCAACAACTCAAACACTTCCTCCGCGCTTATCTTCCCATCACCATCCAAATCAAATGTCCGAAATGCACACTGCATGTCCGTTGTCTTCAACCCGCCTTCCCTCTTCTGCACTTCCACAAACTCATTGAAATCAATAAAACCATCTCCATCCAAATCAGCAACCTTGAATATATTTGGTACGTCTTTGATTGTGTCTTCCTTTTTGAGTGCTCGTAGTATGGCCTTGTACTCATCCGGAGAGATCTTCCCATCTTTGTTGGAATCAAATTTGTCAAACACTTGCTTCATCTCATCTATATTCGGCTGGTAAGCAGGCAATAAGCTGGAATTTTGTCCATCCCCCAAGGAAAACATTCGTGTTGGTTTCCGCAAGAATTTCCTTTCTGAAAGGTGGTACTTGAATTCAAGAAAACTCAACTTTGACATCTGATGATGGTGTGTTGAATAGTGAGAGCAATAGCTTAGACCACAAAAAAGATCGACTTTATTCTTAGACTGGTAGACCTAGATGTCTTTATATTATGTTTGAGAAAAAAAAAATGTAGATATTCAGATGCTAAAGTTGGGAGGACAACGCAAAGTTAGCTTTCACTGCTTAACAGCGTATACGCAACTACATAACAAAAGATTCCAAAGGCAACGGATAAGATAAATGATGAACGGAGAGGGGTGGTGACAGAAATGAATCAAAGATGGGAAAAGAACAAATTCTTGATTCTTTGAGAAAGTTACTTTACATTTGCTTGGTTGTGTAGAAAAACATATCCTTATGTGGAGGTTTCCTTTCACCATCTACAAATGTTTTCTAACGTAAACAAATTTGAAAACATGGATAAAGATAGATGAAAATTTGGATAAAGATGGACTCACTGAAAATTTTACCAAAGATTACTGTGTAGCAAAAGAGAAATGAGAAGGAGAGAAAAAGAAATAAAATTTTATATTTATTTGGGTCAAGGTGGTTTTCCATTGTCCAAATCCTCCATTACTTTTATATCCTTGCGTGTTGTTGTCTTTTGCACGTAACCTGAAATTATATAGAAGGAAAAGTATGAAGTCCATGATTTTAAACTAAGCTTTTTGAATCCACAGGCCGAAAGGAATTAACAAAACATATAAAAGGAAAAGGAAAACAAATTCATTGGATGGGGAAAGTTTGGAAAATCACCCTAAAATATTCCCACTCACAAAGAGGAACACGAGTAAATGTACGTGTTGCTTGGTGGTACATCAGAATTTGATTAAATGTTAACCTACATGGGTTGTATGCTTTGGTTTTGAACAGTAAAAATCCCACCAAAATTCCATTGTGGAATGGAATTGGTTCAAAACTAACAAGTCGACAGACCTAAACAACTTATGTTCTGTAAAGCCTTATTGTTGCAGCTACAAGACACCCTAAAAAACATTTAAACATCAGCAAGAAAATCTAGCTTTATAACAACATTATACTGTCATACTTGCGCTAAAAAAAAAAAAATTAAGACTTCACTTTAAAGTTCACATGTTTCCACACATCACTCTATTTCAATAGGTAAATACTTATTTTGTAGTTTAAAACATTGATCGCAATCATTAAAAAAAGGCCACACCCAATGTACAAGACTCCTGCTTACAGCAAGATCAAAGAGAGGTAATAGGTAAGCGCCTTTCTCCCACTTTTTTTTGTGGAGAGGCTGATTCCTGCAGTTGAACCTGTGCCACAATTCAGAAGAGCATAATGGTAAACTTGCATACCACCAAAAGCTCCACATAATAAACAAGATTGATGAATCAACCTCACATGGAAGAAGAACCTCTCAAATTTTTTATTTTTATTTCATTTTTTGACAAGTAAAAGATAAGTAAAAGAGAACCTCTTAGATTCCTCCAGATCAATATGCAAACAGTAATATCACAGTTTGTTCGGTTACCATGGTCCTTAGATCCAATAAGAATAAGTACTCAAAATGTTTTTTAAGGGAAGCCAATAATGTCAGTCTTCAAGGATGGTCTGGAGATCCTACTCGAGATTTTAAAAATAAAAAATGTTGTACCCAGTGCACAAGACTCCTCGCTTACAGCAGGGCCTAGAAGAGGTAGCAAGTAGGCAGTCCTACCCCCACTATTTTTGTGGAGAGGCTAATCCCGTGACTCCAACCTGCGCCAGAATGCTAGGAACAGATAGCACTTGCCATCGCTTTGGGTCACAACCTCTTGGTGGAAAAGATGTCCTAGTGGTCTAGAAAAAAATTAAACAGATCAACTGGAATAGATGAATTAAATTCATGAGGCTGTTCAAGCTCAAGTGATATGGGGATTATGAGCATATTGAGCACAATTGCTTATATCATTTGGAATGCACAACAAAATGAAAATTCAAAAAAGTATTGAAGACAAACTAGGATGCTCTATGTTTAGAGTATTTTGCCGCAGTAGGAACTCCATTATATGTACCTTTGATGGAACCTAGAAAGCTAGAACCAGTAATGGGCAACAAGCTCATTTGGAAGAGGGAAAAAAAAATAAATCTGGCTCATAGGGACTATTCTAATTCCATTTACAAGGCTTCCATGAAACTGGTGATACTTGAATGCTATATAATCTTCTGAATGGTGCTTGAACTACTAACTTGAAAGCAATAATATTTCACGATGACAGGAATGAAAGTCTAATGGAATCCCACTACAATACCACCAAGCTTTATTGTTCTTGAGTAATTATTTTAAAAACAAATATTGAACTAAAGCTTAAGATGTTGAGGGTCAACTAGGAATAAGGGGTTTTCTTCAGAGATGTTATAGAAGCAAAAAACATCGAACTGAGTTGAATTAACTGTGATGATGATGTCAATAAAAAATGGTTGATCGTATTTGTAATGATTCTGACCCACATTGGTGTGTGTTGAGTCCCACGTTAGAATCCTACATGTAGGTTGTGAGTATATAATTGGGACCAATGAACTCAAATGACATCCTTGGCTAACCCTTTGAGTGTATTCCAGTGTTGCTATATTAAGGGTTAAAAAAAAATCCATTTATCTAAAAAATGATAAGAGGAGAAATTTATAGAGTTTAAACAAACACTCCCCACCCTCACCCAAAGTAAAAGAAAAGAAAAGAGATGAAAAAAAAAAAATGATAAAAGAGAGTGGGAACAATTTTTCTCCTTTTTTGATAAGCTCAAGAAGATGACAATTTCTAACACTCCCAACCCTCATTTTTCTCCCTCTCTTTTCTTAAGCTCAAGAAGATGACAATTTTTCAAATGATAGTGGGAACAAAAAAAAAAAAGAAGAAAAAATTTACATTTCTTTTATAAGATAAAGAGAGAAACCTAGTATTTGAACATATAACATGCATTGACAGAGGCAACAAGAGCAATTAAGGATAAAATATAACCAACATAACATTCCAGAAATGCCAAGATTCCAGTATATCTATTTATTTATCCTTGATAAACGGTAATGTACACTCAAGAAAATGAAAGAAAAGAGGTCCCCTGAGCAAAGAAGGGCTAGAAATAAAATAAATAAATAAGAAAAGAAAGTAGAAGGCACAGAACAAAATAAGAAGAAGAAACAACAAAACAAAAAAACAAAGCAAAACTACACTGGAAAGCAGAATCCAACCAGAATCTCTGGCCATAAAGACAGGGATATCCTCGGAGAAAAATGGAAGTTAGAAACAAAAACAAGACACAGGAAACCAACAGGGTTACAACGAGAAACAAAAGTCCAAGAAAAGACATCTTTCATAAGGTTGAATGTCCTTCTATATTAGATGTGCGAAGAGGACATTGATGAACATCCAAGCGAGTTTTTTACAATATAGATGGGCATATGCTTGGAAACATTGCATGATAGTATGTTGATTTATTTTTTATTTTTTATTTTTATCAAAAAAGACTGCACTTAACAAATATACATTTAATGATTCAGCAGTAAGAGACAACAACGAACAAGAAGAGTACCAATTCCAAGGCAAGGTCAGCATTTGCAGACAACCTCCTCTTCCCTTTTATTAGAAAAATGGAAAAATCCTGAACCTTGGCAACTCCGACACTTCCCAGTCCATTCATACACCATTTCTTTACAATCCTAAAGCTCAAAAAGTAAACATTAGAAGCTCATAGAGACCTCCATTGAGGTTTTAGACCCAAACAGAATCAAAAAAGGATTTTAAATCATGAGAACCAAGCACAAAGACAATGAGAAACATATGCTAGTGGTCAAAAACTCATAACTAGAAAATTTGGAAGTCCAGAAAAGTTAGTCATATAATTCACTAATATGAGCTGCAAATTCAACATTTTCCTTCTGTAAAACAAGGCAAGGCCACTTAATCACTCTATCTTGCCACATTTCTCTTAAGTTGTGTTTGGATCATGAATTTAGGTATTGATTTGGGAAGGGAACTACCTTTTTTTTTTTTCTTTTCCTTTTCTTTTCCAAATCTCTATCCAAATCCATGATCCAAACACAGTATTAGTCTCAAGAAGACATGTATAGTTGTGTTACATCACTACTACCTATGGCACTGTGTCACTTGGAAATTAACCAAGAGGGTTCAAAGAACTAATTTGGACCAACAAAGTTCACAAAAGCTGCAAACAGTTAACCAGTCTCAATCAAGTTTAAAATGGCAAATGTATGCAAATTGTAGTGAATAAATGACCAATTTATTTATTTTTTCTATTTGCAATAAAACTAGGCTGATTCAAATTAACCAAGAGGGGTTAAAAGAACCAATTTCAACTAACAAAGTTCACAAGCTGCAAACAAGTTTACAATGCCAAGTGCATTTAAAGTGCAATATTCACTTTCGACTTCCTTTCCTATTCCAATTTTCCCACAATTTCTCAGCAACCAAACACATAGCAAGGAATTCAAAACAGAAACCAAACCTGGACTTGGGGATAGCATCGGAATCGACGATCAATTTCTTCCGTCCCCACCGGCGACGAGAAAGAGCATCTTCCATGTCATTTTTTATGGAAAAAAAAATATTAATTTTTTTCTCCAAAATTAAGTTTAACTCATAAAAATATAAATTTAACTCAATTTTATTTTTTTAATTTACAAAAATTATATCTTATCATAATATATTTTTACTAGATTAACTCAAATAATAAACAAAAAAAAAACATTACGTTCAACAAAAAACATAATATACATTATGTTCAATGAAAAATACATTATAATTGGAATTTGTCAATACGTACTACATAAAGTGCATAATTTAATAAAATATTTTTTACATTTGAAAAGAATTTTGAAACCCTAAGTAACTTCCTTACAAAGGGCTCACACAAAAAAAATTACATTTATACTCAAACAAAAATCTACATATCAGAAACATTATCAGCACTGTCTTCTGAAAAGTAATCCTTACTCTCACCACTTGAAGACGCTTGACTATCATCATTTATTACCCTATCAAACTTGTCTTCCTCCTCTACCAATTTCTCATCAGTAAGCCAGTCAACATTGTACTTCAGAACACAGACTTGGCTCTCCAAACTTGATAAATGTCTCTCCAGTTCATTCAACCTTTCATAAATAACTTCCAACTTTTGTTAGACAAGAGCCACCTGACTTTGAATAATAGAATCAATCTTCTGCGAATCACACATTGTGTTCGTTTTATTTTCTTATTTTCTTTTGTGGAATTGTACAAAGTAATAATTTCGAATTCTTCTTCCCCCCTATTTATAAGATCAACACATAACACATTGAATTTTAAAAGTTGTCATGCATTGTAACTTACATTTCTCTAATTATTCCACAATTATTGAATTCCACACATGCATTCATTCATTTATTATTTTTCATTTTCAAAACACACACATTTCCAAAACATATACACCAATAAGTTATTCATTCATTCATTCATAAAAAATAAGATTCCTTAAGCTCCAAAAATCCTTCTAGGCCATCACGTTGGTGAAGACATGCTATCAACGCCTGAAATTTGACCACATAGGGATGAACATTGACACCCAGTAGAGAATAACTTAATAACATGCATGATGTTTATTGATACCGTATGGTGAATGCATAAATGCCATACCAAAGTATAATTTTCACATTTGAAACACTTATGCAATGCAATAATTTGAAAACCATGATTTCAGTCATTTTCAAATCAAAGAACACGGGACGGTAAATACAACTCTGGTATTCTCTAGGTATGTGTCTGCCAATAGTCTCTTTGAGAACTACCTAACCACTTTAACTGCTTCTAACCTAAAGGAACTTGGAACCTACGTCGCACAAGTCTTAGGACTTTCACCATGGACCAATAGCCAACTTAATTCAACATGATATTTACCCTTTTCTCAACACATTTCCAAAATGTTCTTACAATATAATTGTATGATTTCAATGTCAGGTAATGTAATGTTCAATGAGATGCATGAGTTACAATTGTTTTCATTTTGCCTAGATCACATGAATTTCTATCACATAGTAATGATATCCTCTACCGATAGCTAAAACAATTATCTCTATTGTGATATTAAAAAATAGGCATAATAGAGCATATCAATGATCTCGACAATATCCAAAATAGGCATATTTTCCAATCATCTCAACAATTCCAAATGCATCCATTATTAAATAATCTCTCCAGATTCTCATCAATTTCCATCCACCAATTTCATTTCAACATTTTCTAGGTTTTATGGCATACAAGTGTAAGTTTGAATTTTTAAACAAAGCTATCCCAAATTTTATGCATTATACATATAAAATCAAACCCTAGTCTTTTCAAAGTCTCAAGCTACCAAAATTAATGCATAACAAAGATAAATAACATGCAAATCACTAAGAAATCCATACCTCAAGCAAAGAAGGTGTAGACACCCTATTTTTGACCGTCCTCCAGACTTAGACGTCATCATTTGTGCACTCGATGTTTTTGTTCGTTTTGTGTTCGTTTTGAGCGCCCGAAGTTCTCGGCGGAATGCCCTGTCTTTAAGCTTTTAAACCTTGTTCTTTTTTTGCCTTGTTTTGGACCAAAACTTGGAGTCTGGACCTGTTGGTGGCCTATCGGCCACCCCCTAAGGCTATCGGCCATGGGAAGCCTCTGTCGGCTATGGATGTGGCCGGTCGGCCACTAGTGGTGGCTGGTCGGCTACCACTGGTGGCCAATGGCCACCAGTCTCTTTTTCCAGATATTTCTGGATATTTGTTGCCAGCTGTGCCAGTTGTTGCTCACTGAGCTGCATCTTCATACACGTGTATGGTAAGATGTATACAAGCTCAAGCTTTGATTTTCTATATATAGGGGGTGTCCTCT